GACCTCGAACATTGCCGCCCAGAGGGTAGGCCACAGGTAGTTGGCCCGAAGTCGGAGGAGAACCTCAAAGATGAGGCTGTAGAATGCAGGACCGTATCCGGCGCCATATGGTGTGTTTTCCCAGTGGGACGCGACCCAGTTCGTCAAGGCAGGTTGCTCATCGTTCAAGAAGAAACCGCGATATTTGACAGAAGGCGGCCCCTGGACCTTCTTGGTCGACAGAGCATAGATATTCTTATTCGGCCTCACGGGGCTGTCGGCCCAGAAATACCAGGGGCTGACACCAATCTGCTCGCTGATGTCGTAGATGCCAAAGATGGTGCCTCTAGGGTCGCTTCCTGCAACGACAAGCGCCGCGGAGCATCCAGGCACTGGGTTCTTGACGACCTGGCTGACGAAGGACTCCCATTTGCCCTTGACAGCGGAAACATCAATAGCCTTGCTGGCAATCAGGTGGTCGATGATGGTCGAATGCCCAATGGTACCGGCAATGACCACGACATTAGACGGAGATGGGTTGGAGAAGGCAGGCCCGGTGAAGTTCGACGTCCCTGTTGTGCTGTAAACAGTGTTGTTCATGTTGTTGATCGGCTTGTAGACATAGGTCGCCGGCCTTGTACTGTTGCCCCCGTTGCTGAGGGTGTAGTTGATGCCAGTGACCCGGCCGAAGTCGAGCGCAAGGTCGCCGGCCGCCCGGATAACGCCCCAGTACTCATTGCTGGATACGAGAATCTGACCCTTGCCCACACTGCCACCAGCAAGCTGCAGAGCGCCAGACGAGCCGTTATTGTTGAAGGCGATGATGCGCTCCTGGCCCAGAGCCGCGGCTACTGAAGAGAAGGCGAGCCAAAGGGCTCCCTTCGCGCTTGTGACGAGCATTCTGAAGAAAGGTCAGATCACAGCTTTCAGGAGGTGGTGAACCACAGAACCTACTTGGGTCGTCAGTCGGGCCACTTCTTTACATGACCGAGGTGGCGACTGCAACGGGAGGAGTGATCAACAAATCTGCACATGGATGCACGGTGTATGTGACATAATATATCCAGCTCCCGGGATATGCAAGGCACGCGAACTGCTCCTGAGGGACGGCATGGCAGGCGAAGTGATAGCTGGGTGTGGTTTTTTGATGGGTAAATAGATTAACCAGGAACGATACAACATCGTGGCTATGTCGTATTTGGTTTTCGGAACAAAGGTTGCCTTTGCCCTCTCCAACTCATGAGCCGGGACGTCGGCGCAGACTCCAACGGCCAAGAAGTCGGAGTTCGTCCATAGCGAGCGGGCGGATCGTTGCCGGACTCGCGGATAAAAGGATGACAAGCTGGCCGTTGGTTGGTGGACAAGTGAAGTCCCATTGCGGTCCAAGTCGAAGCCCGTGACTGGCCCGATCGTGGACGACTTGGCGAGGAACGTTTGTCCGTCGTTCCTGAGGCTAGAGTCTAGTTCACGTTGTATAAAGCCAGCCTGCTTCTCCGCATCCCCACTGACGATGGGACAGACGGTGGAATCCACTCCAACGCGTCGAGCCGTCGTCGCTCAGCGATGTTGTATACTGCATACACATGCATTGACATCAACAGCTTTAGATGTCGAATCGAATATGGGCTTGGTAGCATCTTCATGAGATATTCGAGTTTCAGAGACCAGCGCCCATGCTTTCATTTACTGGCATCGAAGCCAAGGCGGCAAGATATTGAAGCTGGATCAAGTGTGTAAAGTGGCATAACCGACAATTGGAGAAGGGCTTGGCAGGTGAAGAATGACGGGAACCAAACAGGCGATGCGGGGGAAGCGGAGCGAGGTTGGAGGTGAATGTCAAGCCAGCGTCGTTTTAACCGGCGTAACCCACAGCTTGCGACGATCGTGGTTCTTAACAGAGTATCAACAACCAAGGTTTGTTTGATGAGGTATTGGGAAGGTGACAGCAGCGCTCCATCTTCGTGGGTCTTTCGTCGGCTCACTGCACCGGATAGCCAGGCCGTAGCATCCATCGCTGTGCCTGTGAGACTCGGACAGCACGGTTTCCCGGTTTGTTGACCTGTCTTTACCTGGCTGCTGGCTCGATAGCCACACAACAGGTCGTAGCAGAGATCAACGCGTCCCACCATCATTTCGGGTATAATAACTACAGACGCCGGGCATTTCCGCCTCCGCGACTAGTCGGTCCTCTGATGAAGCAGATGCTGAGGGGCTTTGGATCATTCTACAGCAGAATGCGGGACAAATGGACTTGCCACTGAGGAGTCCGGGTCTGCGGCACTTTGGATTGATGAGATGAAGGGAAGACACCTCAAAAGCTAAAAGTAGATGTGGACGTGAGGTCGTAATCATGACCTTTGTGGTGGTCACTCTGCCAATGATCGGATTTCGCGGCTGTTTGATGGGCGACTGCTTCTTGTTAGCTAGTGCCGATGATTCATGATGGGTTGGGAGGTGTCTCGTGCTCTACTTTACGTCCAAACCCGACCGTAAATCGTCACTTCCCGTGTGGTATAGCCATAGCCGCTGTTTTGGGGATGCAGCGTTGCAAGGAGGGAGTTGTTGCGTGTGGTCTTGAGGCGTTTTGCATGGAAGTTGTGAAGTTGTTGGCGGAGTTCGGCCATGGGCGCCCCGGACTTTAGGCCTTGGGGAAACCTTCAGCCCTATCCCACTATAGTCGATCCCCGGACCGTTGCCAAGCCGGGAAGGACCACGGCATCCGGGGTCAGCTAAACGGCCCGGGCAAGGGATCAAAATGCCCTGATTTTGATGTTGGACCCTTTCCATCGATAGTATCACTCAACATGAACAGTCCTTGATGCCGGGTTGGACCCTGAATCCGAATGGAATGAACCCGTCTCCTAGGTCGCCCATCGTGCCTCCCCTCCCTTGCGCTCGCTGCTGAGGGGTTGCTCCGATCGCTCCAATTGTCTCATTTCTTTTAATTGGCTCCGGTCAGGTGATGACGTGAACAACTTCTCCCTTCCCCCGTCTATCCTCACTTCTTCACACGATTGCTCGTCTCTGACCAGATCCGGTGGTGTCAGTCGAAATGGCCCCGGAACTCAATATCAACCGGCCCAAATGACAAGATGAGTTTCGTCTCGACGAGCTTTGTCTCCCCCGAGCTCGCCAAGGTTAAACGCTGGCTACGAGGTCGCAGGAGAAGAACAGATGTCCGTCGTCATGAGTTGGTCTTATCGGTGACGGAGATCAAAGGCCGATTCCGAAGCTTCATCCGGCAAAGTCGCGGCTCCTGGCCATCATGTTTGTCACGGCCAGCATCTCCCGTTCCGACCAATTCTACCTCTTCCTTCGCCTTAGATCCCAGCTACCATCGCCAGACAGTTGACCCTCCACCACCCTACTCGCCACCTACCGCCGATTTTCCCCTCGAACTATCGTCCTGCTCCGTGTCCGTACCTGAACCGCTGCCGCCGCCAGACATATGTGAAGAATCCTCACCCCCAACATATCGTCCCCAATTCCGTCCATGCCACCGACACGCATCTCCCCGCGCAAATGATATACCTCGATCCGAGGAAGAGCAACGTCTGGAAGCAGTCTTCGTCCTCCACCCCTGGAGTTCATCCTGGGGCCCGCGACCTACCTCTTTAAACTCAGCCCTAAAAGAGGCAGCGCTCCGGGGAAACCAACGTCTCGTGCTCACCTTGCTCGACGCCGGTGCCGAGATCAAAGCCAACGAGAGCATCGCAATTCAAGAGGACACCCCCGTGCATGCTGCTCTACAGGGTCCCAATCTGCACCTCGCTCTCGAACTCCTCAGACATAGCAGCGTCTCAACTCAAACGCGGCGAGGTCTGCTCGATTCGCGCGGTATTGCCGACCTGACGCCTCTACACCTCGCCGCCCAGGCCGGCAAGGCCGTCATCACGCGGGAACTCGTCAAACTTGGCGCTGTGGTTGACAGGGCGGACCGGATTGGGCGAACCGCGTTGCACGTCGCGGCACGTCATGGGCGAAGAGAGACCGTGGATGTACTGTTGGACGAGGGAGCAGATATTGCTAAGATCAACCCACAGCTGTGGCTAAGAGCTCGAGACGACTGCGAAAAGGCGCTTCTTGGTCAGTTCAACTTGATCCATCGATTCTTACAGGATGCGCTGCTGGACAAAGAAGGCCGACGAGGGCACTCTGCGAAGGAAGCTGAAGTCGCCACCACTCCCGCCGAACAGGTCGACGCTCCTGATCAAACTCTGAACGTCCCATTCGCACCAACGAGCGAGAACAGAGCAGCAACACGACGCCCGCGACCGGTATCCTACCAATCAACACTCTCATATGATTCAGCTTCCCGCCACACCACGAGACCGTCGATTCCCACAGAGATTCCCCGCCGCTACCCAGGCTCTCTTCACCGACATTCCCAATCCGCCGACCAAGGCCTGGCGGCGCACAGTCGTCTCGCCTCAGTATATGGCTCCAGGGAGGTCGACGCGGCGCGCCGGGTGCTGGCCCACCGTAACACCCCAACACGTAACACCAGAAAACCCCCGCAGAGCTTGTTGCACACGCCCGAGTACGCCAGGTGGAAACGGAACTGCGAGACACTGCAGGCGGAGTCAAGGGCCCAGAGGGAGAAGAATAAGAGGGAGAATAGGGTTTCGTGGGGGGCGTGATTCCTGGGTGGGTGGGTTGCTGCAGGTAAGAGAGTTGCGGAGTTGCCAAGTTGCCATGTTGATTCTGCAGACGTTGTCTAGTTTGTTGATGGTTGTGGAAGATTGTATGATTATGAGTATGAAGTAGTGAGATATCCTTTGTTTCTGGAATTTTTAAATTTCTTTTCTCTATTCATCATGATGGGGGCGGGGGAGAAGGTTTATCTCTACTTTCTAAAGCCGAGAATGAGAATGTTTAATCAGAGGATGTGAACTAATACTTCATTTCAACCCATCTTTCGCAATATCGTGATACGGTATGTGTGCGGCAATTTTGGCGGTTATGGTTCTGGAGGTTTATAAACAGGAGACGAAAATTCCTGGAACATCGAACAAGAAAACGGTTGTATAGTGTAGCGGTCATCACACCAGATTCTGATTCTCTTGAGTTAACTCTTCTGGTAACCCCGGTTCGATTCCGGGTACGACCTTTTTTCATCAGTGGAACAGTTCCGCTTGATGAATCTTTCTTTTTTTCTGACGTTTTCAAATTTTCGTGTATACAGGGTTTGTGCTTTTTGGCGGTGGAGAAACCCAAACTGTCAGTTATCCACTCCTGTGAGAGAGCGAGCGGGCCCAGTTAATTTTTCGTAAGCATTACTTTCTGCTCACCGTATTAGCTGCGTATGAGTACCTAAACACAAGGTGCCTATGTATGTACATCCCTTCGACGTCGAAAATTGAGCATTATCCGGTGTGATTTGTTTTCAACTTGCGAGTTCCAAAACATCTCTGGGTGAATAGCTGGAAGTCCAATCACGACCAGATTGCCTTCTTTAACAAGTACGGTGGTAAATATACAAATTTGACTCAAGATGGAATACCTTGTATTACCCAGGGTGTAATGTTGCCGTCAAAAAGTATTGGCATCACTCAGCACGTGCATATATAAGGGCAGCAAGATTCAAGGCAATGAAGAATACTCCAAATCAACAGATTGCCAGTAAAAACTAAACCGGTATCAAATAATCTCTTCTCCAATCCACCACTCTCCCCTTTTCAAAAATACCCGCCGAAATAGCTAGGTGCGCATCGTTCAGGATAACCTTGACGGCAAAAGTGCTGTATACGGCACGTACTTTCGATGTCAGACACCATCTCCAACCAGGTCTCCGTTGCATATGACCGCCACCCCACAAAGATACCAAGACTCGATCAAGTCTAAACCTTCTCAGGATTAACAGCAGCATGCCCAGTGGTAACAGGCTCAAGTTTCCCGCCCGACCCAGAACCAGCATCGCCGTCCCCGCGCAGAAGCTGAGTGAGGCCAATCTCGGCGTTGATGGCTTCCATACGTTCAAAATCGGCCTGGGCGGTACCTTCAGAGCCAAAGATAACGTCCTGTGTAATAGATTATTAACATTCACTCCCTAACTCTGGATCATGAGGTCCACGGGTGGGGGAAAAAACCATACCATCTCCTCGAGAGTAAGCCGCTTCGTCTCGGGCACAAAGAACCAGATGAACGCCGCGCCGATATACGTCAGCAAACCAAACAGGATATACGTCCCGTACGGCATGCTCTTCAACATGTCGGGCGTGACCTGTCCAACAATAAAGTTGTTCATCCAGTTGCTCGACGCGCCGAGCGCGACACCATACGGCCGGGTGCTCAGCGGCCAGATCTCAGCCACAATGATCCAGGCACACGGACCCCACGAGTAGCCGAAGTGGATGACGAACAGCCAGACCATGCACACGGCCGCCCAACCGGCGGCCGCTTGATCCTTCCATTGGTCGATGTTCTTGGCAACGAGGACGGCAATGACGATGTGGCAGGTTGCCATGCCGATGGCGCCAATGGTCAGGACCGGTTTGCGGCCGACCCGATCGATCCAGAGGACCGCGGGGATCGTCGCGATAAACATGACGATGCCCACGACGCCCGTCGCGAGGAGGGACGTGGTGTTCTCGGTGAGACCGAGCTGCTTGAAGATCGCCGGGGCGTAGTACAGAACCGCATTGATACCAGTCCACTTGATAACAGAGACTTATTGTCAGTCTTCATCTAACAGCGGTGGTTGGGTGCTGGAGGATATATGCCCAAGTCTTCATCTTACCTGTTGGAAAAACATCGTGACAGTTGCGACAATGACGCGCTTGAACATGGCCCGCGTCTGAAAGAGCTTCTTGATGGACACAAACTGAAGCTTGAAGATGTTCCAGGCAGTCGGTTCGCGCAGGTGAGGGAACAGCGTAGCAACGGTGCGCTTCTCGAACAGAGACTGGGCCTTGATCTCCAAGAACTCGAGCTCTACCAGCTCGTGGTCGGCCGAGAGACCTCGGAGGCTTGACAGCACTTTGCGCGCTTCGTCTTCACGACCGTGGTGGACGAGCCAACGAGGAGAGAAAGGCATGAAGATCATTCCAAAGAAGAGAATGAGCGCCGGTCCGAGCTGTAAGCAAATGGGTGTCAACCAAGCCCCGTCGATCTGGGTGTGTAGCGTGGTGCCGCCCATGTAATTGGTACCGCTGGTGACGAGCAAAAGTCAGCGAGAGTTGGTTTCACGTGGTTCATGGCGTAGAGTTGCTACTTACTAGTCGATCCAGAAGCTGATCATGATGCCGAAACAGATGGCCAACTGCTGCGTAGCGACCAAGGCTCCTCGAACCTCAGGAGGCGCGACCTCGGAGTTGTAAATGGGGATGATCATGGCCAAGCTTCCGACTCCCATACCGCTAAAAGGTTTTGAACAGATCAGTCGCCGTCTTGGATCCCCATAATGTACAGCAGTGAGGAAAGAGATTCAGGGATGCTTACGTGATGAAACGGCCCGCCAAAATGGCATTGTGCCCGGCCGAGATCGCAGCAGCTTGGATAACGACTCCAAGCATAAAGACGGCGCAGGCAACCAACACACTATACTTTCTCGAGAGAACCTCGGCAATAAAGGCAGACAACAGAGTGCCGATCCAGGCTCCCAGTTCAAGGATAGCTGTCAGCCAACCCTTCTTCGTCTGGTCCGCATTCGGGTCCACGGGGTCATATTCGCCCATGTCTGCTCGCAGTGACAGCTCAGTTAGCAATGGACATCTACTATTCCAGGGAAAAGTGATATATCAACACGTTAGACAATGCGTACGCTGCTGGAAGGCGGGCATGGCGAGGACACCCGAGAACATGCCCTGGTTGTAACCATACAGGACACCGCCAATACAGGCAAAGGCAGCGATGCTGAAGACCTTGAAGTTCTTGAACAGAGCGCGAGGACCACTGGCGCCCATCAATGCCTGGCGTCTGTTGAGCGCGGCATCGTAGAAGGCGCCGGCACCGGCGTCAGCTCCAGCACCCATTTCTGTTATGGCGTGTTGCTTGCTTTAGCTTCTGGGGCTTCAGAACGAGCACGGGGAGGCTTCCGGGTCGGCAAGACTGAAGATACACTCTCAGTCACTGGACTGCACGAGGAAAGAGAAGGCAGAGCGGGTCAAGAAGTCAGGAAGACGTGGAATGGGAGACACGCCAGGCGAGAGCGCGTCTTTTGACTCCCGTCGCCCTGGATGAACTGATGGCCACAAGTAATAAATACGACCCTATGAATCCGGTATATTGGAGCCCATCGTCCGAGGGGACCAACCACGGGCATTGACGATCGGGTATAGCATGCAGAATTCGCATCCTGGGCCATTGGGAAGGCGGAAGTAAATTAGTGTTCTCCCAGCTTTTGGCTTCAACTTATCAAGTGCTCCCACACAATACTATCGACCGCCGTAAGCCTGTAGGCCCGGTAGTAGTCGGTCGTAACCATGCCGAAGGGTTGTGTGCAACCTCCCACCCGATTCACGGCTGGGATGAGGGGTAAATGGGGTCTAATACCACGGCAGCATGTCCGTTCACCTCGTCCTGGGATCTCGGATGAATGGTGATCATGATGAGTGGCCGGACTAATGTCAACTTTATTCCAGATTTGGCCTAGTATGGGAAGGCTCATATGACTATTACCGGCTCCTTTCCGCCATGATCACGGTCACTAGACCTGGAATTCGGTGCTCCAAGGAATGATGCTATGCTGAAGAGCGGCGATGTGTTGTTGATCATCACCGCAGAGCCAAGGAAAGGGATACGGCAATAGTCGGGCTATGCCGAGCTCGATGCCGACTCTCCATTCTGTGGCTTGCAGGGTTTGGTTAGAGAGGTAGTAGGGCAGGCAATGGTACATAAAAAATCTCACTTGCAATTAGCCTGAATGCCGGGCTTCGTCTTCCGCGATCTGCCCATTGGCTCGCAAACAGCAAACAACAAGCCTTTGGCGGTCCGAGGTGTCGTTCGCGGGAAAATACTTCGGGCCTTCTTCGTGGTGTGTCGTTGTGATGCGGGAGGCTCCCTTTAGCTCGACGGGATCGCTAGGAGGCGGCTTGGTGGCTTGATGGCGTTTCTTGGGCGTCCTTGGCTTCGCTCATCAACCTGCAAAATCTCCGAACCAATCCACGACAAGCCATCAGAGAAGCCTGTTAATCAATCGTCAAGCCACAGTTCTTCATCATTGGCACGTCCGAATGCCGGAACGGGCAAAACTGAAGGGATAATTGAGTTGGGATATCGTCCTGGGTGATGCACCGATTAAAGCACGGTAAAAGATGAGGCACCTGACTCTTGAAGGTCGCGATACTCATTTGAGGACGGAACCGACGCGAGCAAATCGCTTGCGTGTAACTGAGTGTGCGCAACGGCAGCGTCAGAACGAAGGCGTTGCACCACCTTTGCTGAAGGGCGGCTATTGCGCCGAGACAAATCTTGTCGGCTTTGGGGGCGTAAATATTTTCGCGTTCAACTCCAACTGCTCTCATTTCCGCTCGGAAGGATCAGGTTGGTGGATTGCTCGGGGATTTGTATCAGTTGACGCGCCGAAATGACGATACTGGTTGCAATGAATCTTGCCTGTTGGCTTCGCTTCTCCTGAAGAAAGAGAAAGGGATCTCCGGCGAAGACGTCGGTTATGTATTGACGAGATGCTCTACGGACAAGCAAGAAAGGAGGTGCGCCACCGATGACGGGCCTGATCGCTGTCCGGGCCTGGTCACCGCGTCCGGACGCCACGAAGTTGCCGGTCAGATGGCCACGCCAACGGAGTTGTACAAGCTATGCTAAGCTTTGGCCCGAGCTGAGCACGCTCGTGCGGAGAGATGGTGACTGACGACCGGGCCACCCAGCGACATGGCCGCGAGATAGAATAGTGCAACAACCAAACCGGCAAGACTAGAGATGAATGGGGAGGGGGGGTCGGAGATGATGTTTGGCAAACAACGTAAAGGAAGCCACTCGGGACAACTGCCAAAAGCATTCCTGGTTCCAAAGGACTTCTGTCAAGGCCAAACCTTTGTCGATATCCAACACGTCACTAAGATTAGCAGTAATTTAATCCACGCAATTGTTTCCAACAGTACGGCGGCGAAGCAATGCCCGAACCAACATGAAGCTCGTTCTGTGTTAGAG